AATAAAACCTTCATCAAAATACCTTTCTTTAATGTTCTTAAATCCTCTGATTCCTTTCTCATCTTTCTCTCTGGAATTCCAAATCATATTAGCAAGCATGTCCCATCACTCTGTAATGTCTGCCATGAATTAGCACAGGTGCATACTTCACTGCAAAAATGAAATTGTCCACCTGTGAAAATAATTTCACTTACCCCATATACAAATCTAGAAATGAGTCAAAATTACTTCAAATCAGCAGCAAGATTTATTTTTCCAAGCAAGAAAAAGGTAATATAAATAAGTGTATAAACAAGTCCAAATACAAGATTACAATGCTTGGTAAGATTTCCTTTTGGCAGTGTAGTATGCGTACCCTTAAATAAGAGTGTTGCCAGTGGACAGTTCCTGCTAAGTGGTTCAACACCTGAACCATCCAGTCTCTGCTTAGGTATACTGCCCAGCAAATTCTGCCTTCAGCATATAACCCTGTTTACCAGGAGAGTCATTCAACTGCAATGAAGTAAGCAGCAGCGTTCATTCGGAGTAATACTTAAAATAATTATGAATCCCCTGAATGACTGAATGTACATTTTAGCAGGACATCCCATCTGATAGCATTCTAGATTTGTTGTGTATAAGCACAGGCTAAATTTGAAGTGTGGGCAATCTTCATATCTTAGCAAGTGGAATAGCCCTTTTTACATCATTAAAGGAGCAGTATGTAAGAAATGTATGTTGATTAATCATGAAATGGCCCTGATATATCACCAGACATTATGGAATGATGTTAATTTCAAATACTTATATCCCTGACAACAGTAGTCCAGCCAGAATATTCTCATTACAAAAGCGAAGTTGCAGCCCACAACTAATGTTTATGTTGTCATTTTGTGTTTTGGCCTGTTGCGCCGCCCTCCACCTATCTCCCAATCACAAAGTCAGTAGCATTTCAGCATCCAGGTTGCCAGTTACCACTGAGCTGCAGCTACCAGCGTTTCGGAGCGCAAATGTCTGATGGTACTAAACCTAAAAGGCCTCGTTTTGATTCCGAAATACGTCGTGACAAAGCCAGAAACAAAACAAGGATCTGTATAGGACATGCCTTTGAAAGATGGAGACGGCTGAAAGCAGCGAAGAATTTGAAGACCGACGCCAAAGTTGCTGATTTTCACCTGGACAGGTAAGATTCAGCTAAGTTTGGCTAACTTAATTCTATTTAATGTAGGCACGGGCATTTCAAATTATTCTACAGTCGAATAACGTTATGTATGTTCGTTCATGGTACGTTAGTGCGTATGCAGGTGGGTCATCGAATTGACTAGGTAACAAATTGTTTCAGAAATAAAAACCGTGACTCGTCATTGCTAACATTAGCAATGCATTATTAGAGTCCGTTTCTCTGGCATTATGCTGAGACGCAGTGGAAACCGTTCCAACATTAGCACAGCCATTATGGCAATATGAAATGTAATTGAGACAGTACATCGGTCAAATGAGTCCTCATTCATTCTTTACGCATATTATAGTCAGGGATGGATTAATGAATGGGCCTACCGGGCCCAGGCCCAGGGGCCCAAGGGCTCAGGGGGCCCTTGGGCGCCCTGAGCCTCCACGCAAAGTCACCGCTATTCACTTTGTATTTCTTGTTGCATAGTCAAAGGGCCTAATCGTTCCTGTCAATAACTAAAGTCTTACTGGCAAACTGAAGGAATAGCCTAAAAATTCACTTTGAAGACATTACAAGAAACAAACCATCATGTTGCATTTTAAGTGGGTGTTTATCGCCTTGGTTTATCCACAGGACTTTAGAGGTACTCCATGTAATATGGGCCCTTCAACTCTGTGGGGAGAAATCCAAAGACCAAGTTCAAATCAAGTGCGATCAAGTTCTCTCCAAGGGGCCCCTCACATGGTCATAGATATGGACCCTCCGCCACACACACACACACACAAACACACACACGCACACAAATGAGCTGTTTATGTGGCATTTCTGGAAAGTCATGGTTCATAAGGACCCATAAAGGCCCCTCAATCATATAACATGGGCCTGCATATGTGTGTGTGTGTGTGTGTGTGTGAGAGAGAGAGAGAGAGAGAGAGAGAGAGAGAGAGAGAGAGATTTCCTGATTAATTGATTCATTAATTTATAGTTTTATTTATTATTTTTGTCACTTGATTATAGGCTCCTTTAACCTTTTAAGCCTGAGAGGCCCCCAATTGGAGTCCATCAAATGCAGCAGCTATATTCAAACTTGTGAAACTTCAGGCCCATTTTAAATTCTAGTGGAGATCCAAAGGTTTCTGACAATCCCAAATATGTCCATGTGAATAACAGGGAAATGTGTATAAAATATGTACTTGATATAGACATTTCCATTTGAAGTAATGCTGTGACCATAAAAACATGGCGCCCTGGGTTTGAATATTTTTTCAATATAAGTGCAATGCAGCTTCAGTGAAGCGCTGAGACCAGCAGATACAGAATATTTGTGCGTCATTGTTCTCCAATGGAAAAAATGTGTTATCTTATGTTAAATCCTTTTAAGGGAAAACTTAGGGGGAAAGGCAGGGTATAAGGGGTTAAGTATGTTTCAGTGTTAGCCCTTGACTGGGACAAGTGAGATTTCTTACAAGAATATAAGAAATATTTTGCATAGGCCTATTTTATGGGGGCCCACATTCCCATTAGATTAATGAATAAAGAAACTGGTCGATAGAGGACACTATTAAAGTTTGCACCGGAGAAAGTGGCATGACGATAAGGTCTTATCTGTTAAAATGTGAAATCCTTTAACAAGTGCGAAACGTACATAAATTCAAAATGGAGCACCGGTGGACGTTAAGCAGAGCAGCCAAAAGAAAGCTAAAAAAAGAAAAAGAAACCAAGGAAGCATCTTTTTTTAGATAAGGCTGTTTCTTACTCAGCCCGTCAATAATTGCGAAAGTGAGCGGTCATTCTCTCTGCTATCCAGAATTAAAAATGAGCTGAGGACGTAGATGACACAAAAACGTCTGAAATCGCTTTCTCTCACGACAATTGAGAGCGGACTGACTAATGGCCTGGACTTTGACGATATCGTGGATGATTTCGCATGACGCAAAACCAGGAGAAAATGCCTTGGTTAAGTTGGTTAAAGTAAGATGATTTAATGGTCAATTTAAACTCATAGACACAGTCTTGCTGTAAATTGTTTTTAGGCTTTGTTTTTGTTAATATTCGAAATGGCTTAACTTTATCTCATTTGTAGTTGAGAGCGGTTTAATTTTTTCATTTTTTACGGCGTGAAATGTCAACGCGAAAGTGGCAAAATCGATCAATACTGTAACTGAAATGTTCATTCGCGAATGCTACATGTGACAGTGAAAATGATTAATAAAACTGAAGAATAAAATTAAAGTAAATATTGTGGACAATAAATAAATGCCAGAATTTTAATGTATAAATAGTTAAGAGTTTTCTTGTGTGGCAGTAAATTTGGTGATATTCACATTAGATTGGGAAGACGTTTTGGTGATTTTTTAACTTGGTTGCCATTACTTGTACACAACTTTCCCTGCGCGCGCAGCCGGGGGGGGGCTTTCATGTCCGTGCCCAGGGGCCCAAGGTTTCTTAATCCGTCTATGATTATAGTATGGACTTTAATGGGCTATCCACACAGAAGAGTGACGAGCAAGTTGACCAATATGACCATTGCTAAAGTTAGTTAGTCATTAGTCTCGATCTTTTCTGAACTGAACCGAACTGAACACAACCCTTTGAGAGTAAATCATTGGTGATATTGGCGCGTAGCCATGGTAGCTCCGTGTAGTAGACGTTCTTGCTGGATCCGGCAACCTAGCTGGCAACCCCTCGTCTGGGGGAGAGAAGGAGGGGATACTGCGCTCTGCAGTATTTTGAATGTGAGCAGTACCAGTTTTGGCCACAAACTTACATACGGCTCCTTTAACTATGCTGAGGTGCATATGATCCTGAGCTAACTTGTGCTTGTGTGCAGTGAGACTAGGTGGTGGGGGGAAGGGGGGTTAGGATGCTTTGATTAGGCCTTGACTGACAGGTACCTTCAAAGAACTGTGCTGTGATTAAGCAGCAGTGATGAGGTGGCCAGAGGTGGTGGGATTCAATGTGTTTGAGTCCCCAAATATGTGGTAGCACCCAAGCTTATATAGGGCCAATCTGGCTCAGCGAAGTGCTCAGTATGATGCCCAACAGGGCCCTGTACAGCTACATACCAGCCAAAATCTCTCTCAGTGCACTTGCAGGGCTTGGCTGTCAGTGCAGACATGAAGCTCTTTCCTTTGATGCAAAAGACCGACTCCTTCCTCTTACGGTAGCTCCTCTCCTGTCCCATGATGCAACTCTCACCCTGAGGGCAGAAAATTTTCTCAAGCTTTTGAATACAAAATCATGTTACCCATTGTGAAAATCATGTACCAATGCTCTTTACTGGAGATTCTGCCAGATTGTATAGATCACACAGTGAAAGTAAACCAGAAATCAGGGGAAAGGTGAAGTTTGTATTAATTTGTGAGGTATTTGTTTAGTCAGCTAGCAAGGTTAGATTCCCCGAGCGAGACAATTGTGCAAAACACAAACCTCAAAATATAAAACAAGTAAATGCTGTGCTGTCACAGTCTGCTCTGCTGCTGCGTCTCTCCCTCTGCCCGGCCACATCCCTTCCACTGCAATTGCTCTCAGCTGAGTCTCGTTTACTAGCCAGTATTTAAGCCGCTCTATTTCACTCACTCTTTGCCAGATTGTCGTTGCAGCATGCACTACTCTCCAGCCTTTGTCTTAGGTTTGCCTTCCTGGAATCGATTCTGCCTGCCTCTGACTACGTCCTCTCGTTCCTGCCCCGGTAAACCTGAAAGCCTTCTGGCTCTGACTCCGAGTTCTGCCTGTGTGTCTCCTGGTTCCTGTCTGCCGTCTCCTGTGCCCCTGCCCAAGCCATCCGGCTTACCACTCCCCTGTCTGCCTGAGTGGATTCTGTCCGATTGGCCCAGTCTCAAGCCAGCCCGACCCAGTGGCCCAGTGGTAACTCTTCCGCCTGCTGTGTAGGTGACCCGGGATCGAATCCCGTCGTCGGCGCCTGCTACCTTGAGTTCCCGGAAAGGTTCCACTCAAGATCCACAAGTTCCTGAACCTGATCTACACCAAGCTACCCTGCTTTGCATTCTGTTTACCCCTGCTCAGAAATCATTGAAAGCCAGTGAAGATTCATCTGTGTTGATTGTGTTGCATTTGGGTCCTGCCACTCCCCGTGACACTGTGCAATATAAACAGATGTGTAAACAATGTGGAAAGACTTTATTTCATGGGAAGGAAAGTAACCTGCAGGTCAGTCAGTCCCCAGGAGTCGTAATCGGCCTCTGTGCAATGCCTGGGGAAGGACTGGCGGAAGTCCACCTTCACTAGCTCCCAGTCTGAACGGTAACTGATATGGCCAAACACACTGCATGGGAACACAGAAAACATACAATGAAACAGACCCGAATTTTAACCATGAACCCGTCTCCATTGTCTGATAAGTCCTCCATATCAAATTTATTTCCATCTTTAAAATCAAATAGGGTTTCATTAGATTTCTTCGTAATAATGTGTAGGTGTAGACCTCATCACTTTTTCAGGCTTTTATAGTGCTTTTGGCAGTCATGCTACGATAATAAAGGCCTTGCATATAAATTTTCTCATGAGTGCCTGGAAATCATGTTGACATAAAGGCAAAGGTATAATTATTGCCGTTCCACAAGCTTTAACTTTCATGTTGCACTTTTTACTTGCAAATAGGTCAAATAGCAAGTTGCAGCAGGAAAACACTTTATATAGTTTTCTGAAAAGGTGAAAAAGAAAAAAACCTCAGAAATAGTGTAAAAAAAAAAACAACGTATATCGAGAATAATGGAATCTGAGTAAGGACATGATGCAGATGATAAGAGAAACAAAACCAAGACAAGCACAGGTCTGGTGTATGAAAACTGGTTGTAGCCAAAATCCTCTCCCATTACATAACCAATCAGAGCCTTTTCCATTTGGTTATGTCAATATTTCTTTCTCATTGAGAATCTCTAATCAGTTGTGATTCACTAGAACAATTTGAAAAATTAGTTGTGGTCCACACGTATTTCGTGAAAAAAATGGGATTTTGACAACCTGCCACAAAGGCACCACAGACAAAGTACCTGGTCTTCAGAGTTCTCCCACAGATGGATTTGCACTTCACATTAAAATGTCAGATAGAAGATGAGGAAAGATGAACTTTTACAACTTTCCACTAGGTGGGGACCTTTAGTTTAATAAACTTGACAAATGTACAGTATATAGGCATTCAGCAAATTATAAACATTCAACTTTTGGCAGTTTCCTCCCATTGACGTGACACACAGCTTAGGACAGGAGAATACAAAGCACTGTATTGTTGGAGCGAATCTTCTGCAAAGCAGAATAAACACAGACAGATTTAAGTTAAGCAGAGGGACTGTGTTAAACAAATACTGGAAGCATTCACTGACTATGCTAGCATGTTCTGTATTTTCTGCTCAGCTGCCGACAGGCATTCCAGGCTCTCTGTACAGTAAAAGAGCTCCTTCCAGTGATTACTTTTTCATGTCGTTAAAACCAAAGCAACAGTGCATATTGCTCACAGTTGACTGAGCAGCAGTGCCATGTCATCTCTGCATTGCCCGTGACTGCTCTGTCACAGAGGTGAGCCATGCCCTGCAGCTCCCTCTCTTAGGGTGAAGGGGATGGTCTATACTACACAGAGGATTAAGTTAAATTATACACTACGGCTTTACACGTCACACCGTTTACCGTATACTGCCACCTTGTATATATTCAGAGGATAAAGGTGACTAGAGGGGGTTTGACCCAGTGGTGTAGTGGAGGGTTTTTCGCAGGTATAAGGAGTATACCCACATCTTCCTCTGTCAATTTACACTATACCCATCCTTCAGCCGAAATTGAAATTATTAAGGGAGTTTACCCACTTTCTCCTTAAAGTGCATATCCTGGACCAAATTTGTCTTTTTTTGTCTGAAAGATTGTGCCTTTATACACCAAATCCTGAGGGTTATTTTGCCAAGGGCGGTCCATATATAGAACAATTTTTGAAAGTTACCAGAATCGTCTGGAAAAATCCCCAGGGAGTCCTTAGCCATATTGATCCAGATTTGTGACGTCACCTGCGGTTCCCCCATATCCAGGGCGCTGAGAGACCCAGTGCCTGCATGGATCAGTGCGCGGTCACCGACATTTACCGACTGCAGCTAAACAACAGTTACTGTACTTATTGGTGTTATTGCACCCTCCCACAACGCACCTGTTGATCATTCCGGCCAAATACTTCAAATAACGCCCAAAATTGCAAAAATAAACACCATAAACAATAACACAACCTCAGAGTATGTCCACTATCAACAGAAGGACCAGCGCCACCTATGGGCTGCGGGAACCGCACGTGACGTTAGAGAAAGCCATTTTCCACAGGAGATTCAGATCACAAGCTTTTTTCGCGCCAGACGAATTCTGCCTAAAATACTGATATTAAACCAGGTATATCTGACACTGACTGATGTGTTATATTGGTTAAAATGTGTCAAGTGAATAAAAATCCTATATACTATCTCAAAATTGGGTGCATTTTACATTTTAAATCAGCAAGAATACGCACTTTAATGATCTATCAATCCACCTAATAGAGTACACCCACTTCTCCAGGGACCGCTAAACCACTGGTAAGATCGTTTGTGCAGCTTCACTTTGGTAGAGAACAAGAGTGAATGAAGAGGTTTAAACAGTAAACTATGCATGGCTTTGCTTATTCTGACCAGAGGGAATAGAGTAGTAAATAAACTATTTCAGCCTTGTTTATGGACAGTGGAGAGTAGACAGGCTCACATACTTTACGATTTCTTTAATTACTCTCAGCACAGAAGTGAACAAAAAGAAAAGGCAGGTGTGTAAAGCAGTCAGCTTCCCCATTGACAATCAACTCAAGGGAGAATAGAAAAAAATATCAGTTAAAATCCACCTTATTTACTTAGTGAAAAGGAGATACCAGATAGAGTAACAGAATTTACAGCTGCCTGTTTATCGGATGTAAATGTGAGGCTCTGAGCAGTTTATTGCTCCTTTGTGCTCAGTGACCGGTGACTGGTCACCAGCTGAAGAATTTTCAGCAGAAAAATAAGCGCCCCCATGCAGGAGTAATTATTTTTTGACCAAGTATGGCAAGTCATGGTGATAAACAAGAGGTTTTTAAACAGTTGGGTGCCTTAAACAGGCAATGGAAAGGGAGGTGTGCAAAAACAGGATGGCAAGTCTAGATAAAATTACTTTGCCTTCAGGTCAAATCTGGGGAAAATAACTGCACAGATTGTAGATTTAATGAAGAAATTTATGACGTTGGCAGCAATACTACAATTAACATGCATACAGTACTCCATTCTTTCTCTGTTCTCAGGTTCCATCTCTGGGTAAACTGATCTGTCTGTCCATCTGTCTGTCTATTGGACTCTGCCAGCCTGTTTACAGTCCTCATCTTGCAAGGGTCAGGTCATGATGGGCATTTGATTATATATATATATATACATAAAAACTTGAAAACTCCACAAAAACAGGCCTCAGCTTGAAGTCTTCTTGCCCTTCATAATCTCCTTGATGGTTTTTTTTTTTTTTTTTTTTTGCAGAGACTTAATTAACAAATATGATTTAGTTTTGCATAGAAAGTTAACCAAGAAGCAGACAAAATGTTTGTAACAACTGCAGCTATACATTCAAGCGAAGATAAGACTGCCTTCCTTCAGGCAGAGCGTGGCGTTTAAAGTGGCAGATAAATCGCATCTGAGGACTTAGCCAAATTTGGTCAGATCATTCTGAAATTCAGTACTCATGAGCACAGAGGAAGCTGTCGTTGTCTGGAATGAACTTGGTTAAAAAGAAAACACCAGAGCAGAAAGACAGCACAAGGCAACCGAGTCATCACCTACTTGGGAGAAACCTCAGAAAAGAAAACAGACATAATTGACACTGGTGAGTCAGTGGACTGCATAATATCTCTAATTACATCAAGAAAGGCGCGGAAAGCCTCTGGAATTTCCATTTAGCACTCCACACAATTCCCTCACCATCTCAATATATTTTACTTGATCCTATACTATAAATGGTTATTCACCCCAAGAGTGTGTGCATTACCCAAGGTGAAATAGTAATTCAACTCTAATTTCATCCAATGCAGTCAATAATCACATAAATCCAGCTGTAACTCATCCAACATGAGTATGGCTTGGAAGGAAAATCAAAACAGTTTGTTATGATCAGAGCAATTTACTAAAAGAAAAGGCACAAGTGGTTTTTTCATAATAGAGATGCTCTGACCAATAGAGCTTCTGTCTTTATCTGACACGTTAAATAACTACTTATTTCCAAAAAAGTTGGGACACTGTGTAAAATGTAAATAAAAACAAAATGCAATGATTTTCAAATTATTTGAACTTTATATTTATTTGAAAATAGTATAAAGAGAATATATCAGATGTTGAAACTGATAAATTTTATTGTTTTTTTGAGAAAAATTTGCTCATTTTGAATTTAATGACAGCAACATGTTTTTAAAAAGTCGGGATGGAACAGTAAACAACTGAAAAAGTTGCATGATGCTAAAAAAAGACATCTGGCAGAACATCTCACAGCTAATTAGATTATTCAGCAGATCAGTAACATGATTAGGTATAAAAAGTCTTTCATAAGTAAATATGGTGACCATTCTATGATAGGCTGCATGGCAAAATAGTTCAATAATTTGAGAATGATGTGCTCAACTTAAAATTGCTAAGAATATGGAGATTTTATCCTCTATGGCACATAATATCATTAAAAGATTTCAAAAATTCAGAAAAATTTCTGTGCGCATGGGACAAGCCCAAAATCCCATTTTGAATGGCTGTGATTTTCAGATCCTCCAGCGGCATTCCATTAAAAACAGACAGGACTCTGTGATGGTTGGTTTTTCGAGACGCCAAATGCTGTGGCCGGAACGAAAGGAAGAATAGCAAAATAAGAGACAAACACAGACAGAAATCAGAGAGGGA